TCCCTACTTGATGTAGTAAAGACTTTTTTTTTCATTTATAGTAAATACCAGCTATAAAGAATAGAAGAAATGATATAACTTTTAAAACCGCCATTCTATGACTCACAGTGACATAATTAATCCAGGTAAAGACCATTAATTATTATAAATTATTCTTGTATTATTTTTCATTGAAAATTGCAATGATCTGAAGTACGACAAGTAGGCAATTGATTAAATAAATTGTAATTCATTGGCAAAATGACATGTCAGTCAAGTTGTTAACACCTCAAGGATATGCACACACATACACATAAGAAATATTTTTTTACATAAGTATTACAAGCATTACAATTAAAAAGTATTAGAAGTTGTATAATGAAAACTAAATCTTTCTTTCATCAGTATCTCCTCAAAGATGACCACCGAGTGTCAGGTTTCTGTGTTTCGCCATGCACTAAAGCAAATCAATCCAAAAGCATGACATTCCAAAAGCATAAAATTTTTTGTACCCACATTTCCTCCATTTAATAACATACCCTGGGAATTTTTCTATGCCATTGCAATAAAGAATTCCTCTTCCAATTACAATTCATGATGCATCCATAGAATAATGGACTACTGGTGTTATTTACCAATGACCTATCTTTTGCTATCAGAAACAATGGGTTTTTTTTTAAAGATTTATTTATTCATTTATTTTTAATTTTTATTGGAAAGGCGGATATACAGAGAGGAAGATCTTCCATCCAATGATTCACTCCCCAAGTGAGCACAACGGCCAATGCTATGCCGGTCCGAAGCCAGGAGCCTCTTCCTGGTCTCCCGCGTGGGTGCAGGATCCCAAGGCTTTGGGCCGTCCTTGACTGCTTTCCAGGGCCACAGGTAGGGAGCTGGATGGGAAGTGGGGCTGCCAGGATTAGAACCGGTGCCCATATAGGACCCCGGGCGTGCAAGGTGAGGACCTTATCCACTGCGCCATTGCACCGGGCCCAATCAGAAACAATGTTAAACACCTGGTGTGATGGCTCAATTGGCTAATCCTGCCTTTGCCAGTGCTAGAATCCCATTTGAACACTGATTTGTGTCCCAGCTGCTCTACTTCCTATCCAGATCCCTGGCTTGTGCCCTGGGAAAGCGGTGGAGAATGACTCAAAGCCTTAAGACCCTGCACCCATGAGGAAGAAGCTTCTGGTTCTTGGATCAGCTCAGCTCTGACCATTACGGCCATTTGGGGAGTGAATCAGCAAACAGAAAATCTTTCTTTGCTTCTTCTCTCTGTAAATCTACCTTTCCAATGAAAGTAAATAATTTTTTTTAAAAAAAGAAACTGTTAAAATTGTACATTTATCATTTTCTATATTTGTGAATAATCTAGTATAAATTCCTAGAAGTGGAATTGCCAGGTTCAAAGATCACGTTTATATGCTTTTTAATTTTTAATATAGATTGACAATAGTCCTCCTGAAAGGGCTCCAGCAATAAACTGCAGTGTTCTTCCTATCTTTTCATTTACCATGTTGTAGCAAAACTTCTAACCACTTGCTATCTGAAAGGATGTATCTTGTCATGATTCAAGCTTACATTTCTCTGAGTAGTGATCATGGACTTTACAATCCACTCATTAAAAGCCATTTATATTTCTCCTTTTGAAAAACATTCTTTGCTCATTTTTAAACTGCAATTTCACTTTTTCTTACTGAAACGCAGGAGGCTGTATATGTTGAGGAAACTGTTCCTTTTTAGCATGTTCTACAGAGTAGTAGTCCCTGTCTGCTATTTCATCGGGTTGGGTTATGTTATGTTTACCATCTGCCAAGCAGAACTTTTAATGTAATCAAATCCATCAACTCCTCTTTCATGGCTTTGAGTTTTATGTCATAGTAGAAAGATCTTCCTATATTTTCTTATAGAATTTTAATTTTACTAACTTATTTTAGAGGGAGAGAGAGAGATTCCATCTACTGATTCCCAGCACCGAATAAAGCAGGAAGCTGGAGTGAGGAGCCAGAGCCAGGTTTGTATTCTGATGTGGGATGTGTTAAGATTCTAGGTAAATGTCTGCCCCTTCTACCATTTTAAAATAGTTGGTCAACCTATTATTTATTTTGATGTAAAGAGAGCCAAGACTCCAAATTCATTGTTTTCACAAGGTTACCTATTAAACATATCACACAGAAATTGTTATTCATTGGCCCTACTTGATAGCCTAGCAACTAAAGTCCTTGCCTTGAACGCCCCAGGATCCCATATGGGCGCCGGTTCTAATCCTGGAGGCCCCACTTCCCATCCAGCTCCCTGTCTGTGGCCTGGGAAAGCAGTCAAGGACGGCCCAAAGCCTTGGGATCCTGCACCCGTGTGGGAGACCCAGAAGCAGCTCTGGGCTCCTGGCTTCAGATCGGCATAGCATCGGCCTTTGCGCTCACTTGGGGAGTGAATCATCGGGTGGAAGATCTTCCTCTCTGTCTCTCCTCTCTGTATATCCACCCTTCCAATAAAAATAAATAAATCTTCAGAGAAAAAAAGAAGTTGCTATTCATAACACACTGACATTAAAAAGTGTGTTGGGACAGATGCTTGGCATAGCAGTAAAGACGCCTCATGGGATGCCTGCATCTCATAACAGAATGCCTGGTTGAGTCTCAGCTCTAATTTCATCCTAGGAGAAAGGGTGATGGCTCAAGTACTTGGGAACCTGCCTACTGTATGGGAGATCTGGATTGAGTTCCAGGATCCTGGCTTTAGTTTGGCTTGGTTCTAACTGTTGCAAGCATTTGGGGAGTGAACCAATAGATTGAAGATCTCCGTTTCTGCCTTGCAAATAAACACAAAAAACAAAAGTAGGCTAGACTAATGGATACATGTAACAAGAAACAAACTATCAAAAATAATATCCAAAGAAGCCACTTAAAAACATACATACCACAATTCCATTTATATGAAGCTTTAGAAAATATAAATTTAATCTATAATGAACGAAAGCAGATAATTAATTACCTAGGGCTGGGACAAAGAAGGAATTGACTGGGAACAGAGGACTTTTTAGGGAAAATTAAAATATTCCAAATTTTGATTGGTGGTTTCATGGACATATACATTATAAAACTCAAACTGTAGTTAAAATGGGTGCATTTGGTTACATGTAAATGAGTGATTTTTTTTTTAGAAAGCATGTTGTAAACAAAGATTCCTGGTAAAATTTTTCATGGCTTTCAACATACAGAAATATACATACATACATGCTATACACTTAAGAAAAACACATAAAAAAGTGGTAACATGAAGAGGCCATGTGTATTTTAAATTTACCCTTTTGCTAAATCTTTATTAATTTTTTGTCATAAACTGCTTTTACAGTTTTTTGAGTTTATAAAAATTATATTTTATAGAATTTCACAAGCTAAAATAAGTATCATTTTGTACAGATCTTAACAACACTGAAAAATAAAGTTCTAGAAATGAATAGCTTGTCTTTACTGTGTGAAATAAAGACTCAAAGCTTCCAATATAACATGCCATTGTTCTTAGTCAAATATCCAAAAGTCACAGAATCATGCTGTTATCATAATTAATAATTTCAGATTTCAAACATTATTCTTTTGAAGTTAAATTTTGTAAGCCTCACACTGGTTAAGTAATTCTGCCCACCATCACATTACTAAGTAGAATTTCACCTTTAGCAGAAGCAGACTAAGATTCAGACCCTAAATCCAGCATCCCCCAGTGTTCCTTCTATAGACAGACACCACAGCACGATCTTTCAGGATCTGTGTGTTTCGTCCTTTTCACGTTGTTCTTTGTTTTACACACTTAGTTTCTGTATTTCTGCAAGAGTCATGCTACTGTTTTGAGAAACTCTTTTCAAATTAATCCATTTTAGTACTCCTAGATTCTGTAATTTGAAAATTCTTAGTAGATTTTTGTTAGTATATTCATATTGGACCTTTAGCAGGTACTGCTAGAGTTAAAACACATTGTTGAATCTTCACAAAACTGCCTAATTCAGCTTGTTCAAGGTGTCTAAATATTGAGTCATTAAAAAAAATACTGGCATGGATAATTCAACTGGCTCCTTTGAATTCTTCCAGTAATTTTTGTAAATTGTCATTTACTAGTAAAAAAGTTTTTCCTTTTTTACAATTACAATTTTTCATTTCTAATTCTTGATCTGTTGATAATACGTTAAATAATAACAGAAAAAAAAAACCTCATTTGTTTTGTCTGTACTGGAAATATCTTTGGAATTTCATCTGAAAATATGCTTATGGGTTAGAAATGGAAGAAAATATCCTGAACATGATAGTAATGATCCTTAATGAACTAAGAATAAAGACAAACATATCCTAGTATAACAAAATATATTTATTTTAATTTAGTTATATGATTTTTGTATGTAAACATTAAGTCACCCTTGGGTTATTAAGATAAATTCTGGGAAATCATAGTTTATTTCTTCTAATATGGCAGCATTTGAGTAGGGGTTGAGTTTCTTTTAATACACTCCTGAATTTAACAGTTGAATGTAGAACATTCTGATAGAAGTATGTATACTTTCTTTTTATTACTGCTTATAATTTCCTTTTAAAAGAGACCTGCATAGCTGCCTTTTTCTGTAAAGGTCTCTCTGTGACTAAATTCTACCTTCAGTTGATATGGCAATTATATTTCCCTTGAATAACATCTTTCTTAAGAGTTGGGTAAGTCTCACAGAACTGTAAAATCTTCAGTCATGAGAGTGCTGGTATGACATCATCTGCTACACCTATTACTTGTAGGAGATCAAGGAACAGAAAGGAAAAGTGCTTTGCCCAAAGCCTCTGGTCAACAAAGATCCAGACTTTCTAGTGAACAACACAGACTTTTTTTCCAACAGTTATTCAATAGAAAAGAATATGCTGCATAGGAGTAAAATAAATCAAGCTTGTACTTAATTGAGAAATACACTTGGACATGTACAATTAATAGTTACTTATATGACCACTTATTTTTTAAAGTGAAAAAATACTATATAGTAGCCATACCTGTTATTTTAATATTACAAGGAATGCCAAAAGGAGCCTCTCCTACAGTTCCAGCAGTCCCACCCCATCTGCATGCACACCCTAAGTCAAGTCTCTGTTGCATGAACTAAAAACAAAACAAAACAAAAATGGAGCTTTAGCACCTATTTATTTGCTGTCAGCAGAGAAAAAAAATCACAAATATATGACAGAGAAAATAAGTCATTTATTCAAGGGTTTTTCTGTTTCTCTTCCCCACCCATCTTTCAAAAATTACTCTTTCTGCATTTACACCATTTTGTACAATTAAAATCCATACAAGTGTCTTCCTCTGAAAGCATCTCACTTTAAAACAAAACAAACAAACAAAACAAAGCAAAACAAAACATACTTCAGACCAGACCTCACACTAAATATAACATGGCAAATTTCTGTTATCTTTACCTGTTCAGTGATGGCTTGGAAGCTATACAGCCTGACCAGTCCGGAGCTGTACATCACGATCAGGATTCCATGGGACAAAGTTGCATCTGTAACGCTCCCGAAAATCTGGGGGAAAAGGCAGACATCACCTAAGAAAAGACCAGAGAAAGTCCAGTCTTCTGAGTGTTCACAGGGGTCTCTGCATTCCTACTTAATATTCAGGGCATCACTGTAACACCGTTAACTAGCAGCAGAATTTCATCATTGTGTAGCAAACATGAAACGAGGGTGCTGCTAGTGGCAGGCACCACGCTCCCGGTTCTCAAACTGCAGCAAAAGGAAGCGCAGTGGCCCTTCCACCTCAAATGACGCACCAGCATTCCCTGGCTTCACAGCCTTGTCACTACTGATTCATAACAAAGCCCTTTCCTCATGGTACACCGGCATGCACTGAGACTATATAATTCTAAATGATTAATTCACCATTCATACCTTGCTAAGAACCCATTCTTTACTCTAAAATGTTCTTCACAAGGACACAGATGTTCAGGTGAAAAAGTTAAATCTTAGATAGTAATTGTAAGAGAAAGAGCCAATTCCATAATTTTACCACTACCTAGTTTTTGAAATCTTGAACAAAAGAAAGCTTTTTTTTTTTAAAAAGAAAAGGTAAAAACTAAACATGGACAGAAACAGCCTAGCTAATCTTGAATAAGGCTTTGGTCACTGTTTGTTCCCTTTCTGTTGTATATGTAGGAGCCTGTAAGAATTTTCCACACAGCTCTGAAAAACAACTTGATTCTATATTTGAGTATTTACCAAAAGCCCATATAAACAAATATTCATAGCAGTAAAAGGAGTAAAAATGAAGTGATAATCTGCTTGAACTCGAAACAGATTATTTAGTGATGATTTTTACCACATCAATATATAACTTAAAAAAACAATCTGAGCCTGATGTGCTTCAATCCCAGTAACCACTATCAAAACGAAATCCCTAAATGTGTCCCTTGGATAAATAAGAATAAACTGGAATAAATTAGAACTCTGCAAAGTGTTCAATCCTGTTACACACTGCAATAATGCTCAATCATTTAATCCATAAGCACAAAGAGACCAAATAAACCTTAAGTTGTTATATTTTTGTATTTTTTTTTCTCTCTCTCTCTTTTAAAAGGTTTATTTATTTGAAATGCAATTGTAATGAGAGAGAGAGAGAGACAGAGAGAGGGGATCTTTCCCCTACTGGCTCACTCCCCAAAAGGTAGCAACAGCCAGAAGCCCGGAGCCTTATTCTCCCACATGGGTGTAGGGGCCCAGGGACCTGGGCCATCTTGCCTGCTTTCCCAGGCACTTTAGCAGGGAGCTGGATCTGAAACTCAACAGCCAGAACTTGATCCACAGCCCTTATGGGATGCTGGTGAAGCAGGCAGTGACTTAACACGCTATACCACAGTGCTGATTCCTTGTTTTCTCCAAAAGGGTAAGAACAATTTGCTTCAAGGTTGACTAGCTCAGGACTTCTTAATTCGCTGATCCTGACTGTCAGTTCTGAGGAAGACTGTGTAATTCAAACATTTTTTAAAAATACTGGGTGCTATAATACATCAGACATGTATTTAAAAAAGTTTGATACATATTTTTAAAAAGATTTACATTTTTATTCATTTAAGACAGAAACAGAGAGATCTATCTGTTGGTTTACTCCCCACGGCCTACAGCAGCTGGGGCTGGCCCTAGCTGAAGCCAGGAGCTGAGAATCTCCATCCAGCTATTCCACATTCACAGCAGGAACCTGAGGACCTGGACCACCACCTGCTGCACCCCAGGCGCATCAGAGGAAGCTATATGGGAAGCCGAATACCTGGGACTAGAATTGGCTCTGTGACAGACAAGAGTGCCAAGTGCAATGCCCACTCCAGTGATATTATTCTTTAATTGTTATGCACTGTGGTATATCATGCTTCATAATGCAAACATTTTAAAGTACATTCATTATGTTTGGCTAATGATTATGCCCACAAATGGAACCTCAAGATCCTATCCTTGTGGTGGGTATCTTGTACAGTGTTTAAGATGCTATAAAAATGCTGCTTGTGATATTCCCTTTGCATTTCAAGCACTTATGTACTGGCTCTGGTCTCACATTCAGCTTCCTGGCAATGGGTCCCCTGGATGGCAGCGGGTAATGGCTCAAGTAGTTGGGTCCCTGGTACCCACATGCAACATTCAGACTGATTTCCCAGTTCCTGGCTTTAGCCTGGCCCAGTCTTGGCTGCTGCAGGCATCTGGGGAGTGAACAGTAAACAAGAGATCTCTCTTTGCCTTTTAAATAAATTAAAGAATTTTAAACTTAAGATCATGTCCCTCTATAGCATGTGAGGTGTCTATAGATCAGTAGAGCAGCCTAATAAATAATTACTCCTCAGCAGAAAGTAACTTTTTTTTTTTAAGATTTATTTTTATCGGAAAGGCAGATATACAGAGAGGAGAGACAGAGAGGAAGATCTTCCATCCGATGATTCACTCCCCAAGTGAGCACAACGGGCCGATACTATGCCGGTCCGAAGCCAGGAGCCTCTTCCAGGTCTCCCACACGGGTGCAGGGTTCCAAAGCTTTGGGCCGTCCTCGACTGCTTTCCGGGGCCACAGGCAGGGAGCTGGATGGGAAGTGGGGCCACCGGGATCAGAATCGGCGCCCATATGTGATCCCGGGCGTGCAAGGGAGGACCTTAACCACTACACCATCACGCCGAAAGTAACTTTTAAAACATCGCTTCCTATATTCAAATGAGATTTGTCATTTCTTTTCCTTCGTTTACATACTCCACAACTCAAGCACAATGGCAACAATAAAACCCCAAACTGACTGAGTTGGAAAATTTATATATTTAATTATAAGTCTTCTCTATATATAAAGCAAGCTTCAGATTCGTATCTTGCAATTAATATGATTCATTTTGTTGTAGCTTAATGATCATTTTAATAAGCTTCGAAATACTGTCTTTGGAAATAAACAACTCATTAATTTCATAACTTTGTATGACAGAAGTTTATCAATGACCACAAGTTTCCAACACCATGTACAAGAAGGGCACAGAAGATGAGGAATAGGCAGATAATTTTGAACTATCTTATATATTTTGATAAGAGGAAAACCAGGTGATAGAAGATTTTATATTCAAGAGAATGCTGCTAGTACTTTCTAGTTTCTAGTAATTTCTAAGTTTCTAAAAATTATATGGGTAATATTATATTGTTATATTGTAATATTATATTATATTGTAAATAAAATTTATAATATAAATAAGTAAGAAATGAGTTCCTACCTTTTTGCTGATCTCTAGAATCCCTACAAGTGAGAAAGGCAAAACTCGGAACACTGCAAGGTATAACAAAACAGGCTGTTGAATGCCTGCCTAGAAGAAAAGACTAAAATTACAGGCGGTTCTCAAAAGTACGTCAGAAATCTTCTATTTTCAAGAGCTCAAAACACCTATCTGTCCTGGCATGCAGTTCATGAAAATGTCCCTTTGTCTAGACTATAAAACTACTTAATATAGGAAGGGAAACCTATTTAAGGTAGTCCATTCAGTCACTAGACTTTTAGGCACACATGCACATCCAAACACACTAAAATGTACAAAAACAGAACTTTACAAAAATCTAGTTATTTGAAAGGCAGAGAAACTGAGAGGCCCATCTCCATCCTCCGGTTCACCCACTGCCACCATGGCTGTGATAGTGGTGGCCAGGCCAGGTGCAAATCAGCAGCCCAGAGTTCCTTTCAGGTCTCCCAGGTAAGCAGAAGGAACTCAGACAATTGAGCTATCATCCGCTGCTTCTCAGATTACTAGCAGGGAGCTGGACTGGAAGCAGACTAGCTGGAATTCATGTACTCTGATATGAGATGCACAGTGGCTTAACCTGCCACAACACTTTCCTGCTCCCAGGAAATTACAGCATACCTTTATATTAAACCTGGAGTTTTACTAATCAAAAGATATGTAATCATGATTATACAATTTAAAAGTGGTTATTACACTGACATGTGCCTATGAAGTGAGAAAAAAATTAACAAGAAAAGCTTGAATGATTTCTGATTCATGAGAATAGCTCACTCAGTTGAAAGAACAAGGTCCAGATAATTCTACTATGAACTATTATAATAATCTCTTGTTCTATAGTATAAGGTTGAAAGGAAATTTTTTAAATTGTGGTAGACAAAGGTATCAGCCCCATTACTGTTAAATCTTGTTCAACAGAGCCCTAAGGCTCAGACATAAGAACACCTATCAAGACTGCCACAACTGGGGTGGGCAATGTGGCATAGCAGGATAAGCTGCTAATTAGAATGCTCAATATCACATACAGTAGTTCCACTTTTGATCCAATTTTCTGCTAATGCATCTAGGGCAGGGAGACTATGATGGTTCAAGTGCTTGGGGCCCTTACTACTCACAAGGGAGACCTGGATGGAGTTTCACGCTCCTGGCTTTGACATAGCCTAGTCCTGGCTGTTGCAGGCATCTGGGAAATGGACCAACAGAAAGAAGACCTCTATCTCTATAGTTCTGCCTTTCAAGTGAACATAGAATCAAAGCAACAAAAACACCTGCCATAGCAAGGAATTAAAAAAAAGAAAAAAAAAGCAAATAACAAGCAAAAGGATACACTGCAATGTGTAAGACCCAAATTATTCTTCATTTGAAAGGGATACATTTTTATTAAATTGCCACTGTATGGCACACTGGCATCCTATATAGGGCATCTCACTTGGGTTCCTCTCTGTGTCCTGGCTGCTCTAATTCTGATCCAGCTACCCACTAATGGTCTGGGAAAGCAGCTGAGGATGGCGCAAGTGTCTGGGCTGCTGCCATCCACATGTGAGACTGAGATGAAGCTCCTGGCTTGTGGCTTTGCCTTTGCCCACAGCTGGCTGTCATGATCACCTGGGAGAGTAAACCCCCACATGGAATATTTCTCTTTCTCTCTGTATGTGACTTCCAGAATAAATAAATACATCTTAGGAAATTATTTCATTAAATCAAAATCTTCAAGGTACTGATGAGACTAAGATCCTAAGATCCTAAAACCCAAAGGAAAAGTAGTTTTTATATCCCAATCAACAAGTACTAAGTGTTGGCTGGGAAAACAATCTAGCACACAGAAATACCTTCAAGATTCTCTTAACTTCATCCAACCACAGTAAAAAAAAATCTTAACAGAGGATACTGTATAGAGTTAGGTTTAAGTTGTTGCTCTTTATTCAAATTCTTCAAAAGGCATATTAAACAGACACTTTTCAACATTGTCACCAAATATTCTCTTACTTAATTATATAATTTTTTTTTTTTACTTTACCTAAGTGGAAAGGACAACAGAGTGAGAAAGAGTGTAAAGAAAGAAGTATCAATAAGAAACAACACCTTTTTATTAGTTTGTCACACTCAAAAACATCAGAAAAAACGTAAGATTTCAATAAAAGGCACGCACTCATTTTGGTAAGGTGACTGGGTAATAAATGGAAAAAGAGTGCAAAAATACTTATAGATACCCATGGTAAAAAGGGAGAGGGAATAGCTAACAAAAAGTTAACAGTGGCCTTAGAACAAGCAAACAAGGGAGATGAAAAAGGAATGAAGAGAGTTTGCTGGCCTCGGCTGTGATGGGATAAACTGCAGGGCTGCCAAGGGAAGGCTGATAAGATCATACAAATAGGCAAAATTAGAGCAAAAGCTTTAAGTTTTTAAAAGGCATCTTAGAATTTTTTAAGAACTTTACTTGCTGATTAGTAACTAAGAGGCAGGAACCTGAGAAGCCTGCCTGTAGGTTTTTACCTTGTACCAGTGGTGTGGCTGTGGGTGACACAGTTTATCTCTCTGGGCCTCAGGCTCCTAACCCAGCAGAGAACAGTACGGAGCTGTTTTATGAACAAGGGCACTAGTCAGGCAAAGCTGAAGGAGCAAAAATTAAAGGTGAGAAAGGACTAGGAACAGATTTTGCCTCAATTTTTTTCTAGATGTCTTAGGTTACGAAGAAACGGAAAAAAAAAAACCCTTTGAATCTAAAACTTTCTTTTTAGATTTACATATTTCTTTGAAAGTTATACAAAGAGACATATATACACAGAAAGAGAGAGAGAGAAAGAAAAGAGAGATACAGATATGCTGTTTGCTGGTTTATTCCTTAAATGGCCACAGTGGACTGTGCTGGCCCAGGCTGAAGCCAGAAGCTAGAAGCTTCATCTGGTCTCCTACCTGGATCACAGGAGCTCAAGTACCTAGCCCATCTTTTGCTTGTTTACCCAGGCATATTGGTAGGTTGTTGAACCAGAGGTGGAGAAGCTGGGACGTGAATCAGTACGCACATGGGATGCCAGAATGACAGACAGGTGGCAGCTTTACTTGCTTGGGCACAATGCTGGCTCTGAAACTTTTAAGTGTTCAACAATTGTTTTTTCTTTGTTTTGCCGTATTTCCCCGTAAGTCATTAAAAGTTTCTTGATATAAATTGCTGAACTATACTTTTAAAACTGTAGTAAATACTTACTTTTTTTTTTTTTTAAAGAAAAGACAACAAAATAACTATTTCAATAGCTTGCTTTGGGGAAAAAATATCTACCTACCAAAATTGACAGCATGCTTCAGAAACCAAAGATCATTAGTTCTTCATGACAAGTTTGCAGACAAATTCCTATGGAAACAAAGTACTCATTTTATCAAATGACTGCATCCATGTCTACCTGCCGGGCCATCGCTGAGGCTTTGTTCTGAGCTGACTTGACCACAAGGACTTCTTGAGGAGTATCCCAGCTCAAGTATCTTTTAAAAGAAGAAAAAAAAGCTTATTTATATTTAAAATAAAAATACTAGAGATATTTTGTAAGCAAAGCATTTTTAAGTTAAATTATAAATGTACAGTCATATATTCTAAAAAACAAATGAATAGATAATTCTCTTTAGATTCCTTTATGGATATTATCTCAATTTAAAACATGCTTATACTTAAAGACACACATACACAAACAGATTTTAATCCTCCTCCTCTTACTGAATACAAATCATTTTTGACCTAGTAGTATTTAAAATCTAGAAAATAAAATAAAACATTTCTATGTTAAAATGGAAGTTATCAAAAGCATTGGAAATGTTACTTTCACATTGTGCATGCACATGCTGACTCAAAAATTTTCATCTACCTTATCAAAGTAATAGTTAAAATGGTTCTTGTCTTATACTTGGCAGGTAATTTAACTCAAATTAAGTCTTCAGGGAAAACTACTACAAAGTACAACCTACATGGAAAATGTTATTTGTAGAAGAAGGGTTAGCAAAGTGAACCTTTTTTTAAGTTATCTGTCAATTACTAAAGGGTTTCCTTTTGTTTTCCCCCATAAAATTTTGCATTGCTTATGAGTCCTCTCACAAGCAATACTCATCCTTCTGAAATCCAAATACAAAAAATTACTGTATATAATATTCTACTTTTTAAAAAAACAACTTATTTTTACCATGAGTGTTTCTATCTGCACATCTTCAAATACAATCACAAGTAAAGAGAAAGAGAGCAGGCTTATAAGTTAATATGTAGGGAAATCAATCTCAGGGAAAAGAAAGAGTAATATAAATTCTGAATGTAACAAAAGCAATATATTAGAATTTGAGGACCACCAAGAAACAAAAAGTTAATATGTAAGGGTCAGAGCTGTGGTATAGTGAGTAAAGCTGCTGCCTGCAATGCTGGCATTCAAACAGGTGCAGGTACACGGCCTGGCTGTTTTTCTTGTCGTAACTCTTTCAAAATCGAGACATAAATCGATAAATCAAATCAAATCAAATAAAAATTGATAAATAAATTTAAAGGCAAGGACTTTAGCTACTAGGTTACCACACTGGGCTTGACAATAAATCTTTTATTTATTTATTTTTTTTTATTAAGATCTGACTATGAACTGCAGATGAAGGGGACTTAAAAACGTCCTGGGGGCACCCAGCAGCATGGCCTAGTGGCTAAAGTCCTTGACTTAAACATGCTGGGATCCCTATGGGTGCCGGTTTTAGTCCTAGCAGCCCCACTTCCCATCCAGCTTCCTTCCTGTGGCCTGGGAAAGCAGTGGACGATAGCCCAAAGCCTTGGGATCCTGCACCCATGTGGGAGACCCAGAAGAAGCTCCTGGCTCCTGGCTTAAGATTGGCTCAGTTCTGGCCTTTGCAGTCACCTGGGGAGTGAATCAGAGGACAGAAGGTCTTCCTCTCTTTCTCTCCTCCTCTGTTTATCTGGCTTTGCAATAAAAATAAATAAATAAATATTTAAAACAAACAAAAAAACATCCTGAGCCACAGTCTCAAATTTTCATAACAAAATCTTATTATAAAATGATAAATGTGGAATGGGGCTATGGCATAGAGGATAAAGCTTGCACGTGGAGTACCTGCATTCCATAGAGGGGTTATTTCTGATTCCCTGCTGCTCTGCTCCACTTCTGATCCAGCTCCCTGTTGATTTGCCTAGGCCCCTGTGCCAATGAGGGAAAACTGGAAGAAGTTTCTGGCTGCGTAGTTATGGCCATGTGATTGTTTGGCCATTAAACAAGCAGATGGAAGATCTCTGTCTCTCCCTTTCTTTCTCTGCAACTTCAACTTTCATATAAACAAATTATAAGAAAAACACAGAAATTCATCATACCTGAATTTGCAATAAGATGCAAGGTATATTTTCTCAAGGATTTTTCCTGTATTTGCTGATATACGAAACAGCCAGTTATGAGCAGTCAGTGCAATGAGTGAGGACTTATAATCTGACGGATTGGGAAGTATTTCCCCCTAAAAAAAAAAAAATTAATGAAATTCCTTTCTCGTGTAATCAATGTCTAACAAAAACTGGTAAATACTGAAATAGTCAAATAAGAAAACTAGATGGAGAATTAAGACAAAGGTAGGTTTATGGCTAATTATTTTAATCATTAACTTACTGAGTATGCTCACATAAACATTCAGTATCTGAAATAATTTATTACTAATAATTCAGTATTCATTTATAATAGCCAACATTAACAGTAGGAATATTAATAGTAGCCCAATTAATAACAGAATGATAATAATAACAGCTCTTATACATAGTAGACATCAGGCCGTAAAGCAGGTTGTTGGGGTTTGATGCCTAGCTCCCGATCAAGCAAGCATCCTGCCGAGGCTCACGCGGGGATGCAGCAGGGATGGTTCCAGTCTCTGGGATATGACCATTCATGGAGGAGCACAGCAGCAGAGCAGCAGGTCTCTCATCTAGTGCTCTGATGAGAGCTGCTGGAATCAGCCGCAGCCTAATGCACCGCAACACATCAGCTGCAGTGAGGAGCACTCTGTCTGGATCTCAGCCTCTCAAGTAAGTCTTTATGAATAAGTATAATGGCTTAGTAAGCTCAATAATTGAGAGTTATTTGCAGAATAGATGTTCACACTGTCCTTTTTTCTTAAATTGTAGACTTCTTTTGCTTTAGGTGGAAATCAAGATGGCAGAATGGCATTTACCCCATTATTCACTGTAGTCCTGCTCTACACTCCAATGAAAAGCTAGCATCCACCATCAGGGAAGCCCAAGAATACAAGATGAATCTGGTTTTAAAAATGACCTTTTCCCCTGTAACCGTGGAGCCACCACAAGGTGGAAGTCTAACGCAAAAAAGATAAAGAAGCACAAATGGCTCCACTTTGACTTGTAGCAAAAATGGGTAGTTTGTGAAATAATTAATCAATGAAAAACAATAGACGTATAGTTAATATTATATTTGCTTCTGAAGATTTGTTAGGGATTTGTTTCTAAAAAAATTTTAAGCTTATTAACTACTGGAAGTTATACACTAAGTTTACAACAATTAATATAAACACATTCCATCAAGTCTTGTGTCATTTCACTGAGACTCTGAAGTTATTAAAACATACTGTCTATACTTTGCCTGCTAAAATTCAGTTTCAAGCTGCATGTATAACATAACTCTTTTCCTAAATGTTAAGCAATATTTCATGCATTGTCCCAAGGAAGAAAAAAAAGCAGTTGTGTATCAGTATATTTACACTGCAACATGCTTCTCAGCTTTTCCTAGTGGAAAATCTCTTTTTACTTCAAATGAGCTAAAGTCCTTGTCTTACATGCACTGGGATTTCATATGGGTGCCAGTTCTAATCCCGCTGGCCCCGCTTCCCATCCAGCTCCCTGCTTGTGGCCTGGGAAAGCAGTTGAGGACAGTCTAAAGCCTTGGGACCCTGCACCCACGTGGGAGACTCAGAAGAAGCTCCTGGCTCCTGGCTTCAGATCAGCGCAGCACTGGCCGTTGTGATCACTTGGGGAGTGAATTATTGGATGGAAGATCTTCCTCTCTGTCTCTCATCCTCTCTCTATATATCTAACTTTACAAAAAATACTATTAATAATAATAAAAAATAAATAAAACTTTAAAAAGATTAAAAATATATACATCTAGGATTATTTAATTTTTAGTTATTTATTTCCATTTTATTTGAAGGGCAGAGAAAGAGGGAGATCTTCCATCTGCTGGTATACTCCCCAAATGTCCAGAATAAGACTTTAATCTGGGTCTCCCACAGGAAGCAGGGACCTAAGTACTTCAGCCAGCACCTGCTGCCCTCCAAGTTTTACATTAACAGGAAGGTGAAATTAGAAGTAGAGCTAGGTCTCAATCCCCTCAAACAGAAGCAGTCCCATTTGGGATGCAAGTACCCCAAATGCATCTTAAACACCGTATGAAATGCGTGTTTCTTCATCTAGTCTTTTAAAGCATTTTCACATTACTAATAATGCCTTAAGATCAATTACTTCATAAAGAAAAAGAATTGTCAAAAGATAAACTCTTCTTGATCACTCTAATGATTCCTGAAACTTTGTGATATTTATATGAATTCCTCTAGGCTACAAATGCCTTAAAACAGATACTGTAAAAACAAATCTTACCACTGGGCATTCCCACAATAAAGCATCCTCTATTTTTTCTGATTTGGAACATTTTGGCATTTCATAAAGTTTTCGTGGCTCTGATGCAACACTGGGGAAAAAACATATATTATTATCGTTTTTAACTGAATCAACATTTGCTCAAATTTGAGAATTTTTAATTCAGATTTAGACTATCAAAATATACTTAGTTATTTGCTTTCTTCTTAAGAGTAACTTCGTTTCTGATCATATTATTTATGGCATACATTCATAAAACATCTGAACAATATAATAATTAAGATGGTTTAAATATGTGGAAACAACCATTATTAACATCGTGTTCATTTCCTTCAACTTTTTTTTCTTTATAACTTAGACCAACCTGGGCAATGTTTTCTAAAATTGTACCGTTTTGAATCTTTTAACTCTGAATATTTAGCATGAATATCTTGGCTGAATTCAATCAAATTTATTTTCTTTCTGATAGTTAAATGAGAATTAGTAGATAAAAAATTACTATTTCTGAATATTTTTGTAACTTTCTAATTCCTACAATTACCTTTCAAAAAGCTGAGTAATTTTGTATTTGTGCTTCTACTACCAATGCTGAGTATTGCTATCTTTTTTTTTTTTTTTTGGAGTAACAGACACAGATAGCTCCCATCTTCTGGTTCATTCACTAAATCCCCACAGTGCCTGGCACTGGGCCAGACCAAAGTTGAGGACTTCGAACTCAATCCAGGTCCCCAATTGAAGTCAGCACATACAAGCTGATAGTGTTTTGAATATCTTTAAGATATTCAGCTTTAAAAAATAAGATAAATAAGAAAAAATAAACAAAGCAATTGAAGCAAATGTTTAGAGCCCTTGAATATAGGTAAACGGTTATGAGGGGGTTTCAACGCAATTTTCTCTTTAGGTTTTCATTGGACATTGACAGACAAAGATACTGTTAAGCATCCTGGATCTACAAATACTTTGTATCGGTTGAAAAAGTTTTCTCTTACAAAAAAGGCAAGCACTTTCAAATAAAATATTTATGTTTTCCTCCAAAGCATATTTAGTAATTTTGTAACCAGCATTCTTGATTCTGGTATCTTTTATGTAGGATAAAATATCAGGCAGTACTCTGAGATATATATCATTGTGCCTGCACTAAAAAGTAGGTTTGCTTCTAGTTGGTATTTCAGACAGAAAGTTGCAACTTTAAAGAGGTTTTTAAAACAACCCTGGGATGGTTGGGAGGCTAGATGTGGCTTTTCCCCTTATCTCTTCCCTTTCCACAGTTGCAAGAAGGAAAAAAAAGAATGTGATAACAATGATTTTATCCACTTTAGCCCTTGACCCTTTGAGCCCTAATCAACTACTCAGAGATTATCAACAAAATAAAAATAAAGAGGAAAAATAAAAACAAAAACAACATGCACTTCACCACCAAGCCTTAACTTGAATCCTCTCTTCTACATTATCAAGCACAAATGTAGGCTTATCATTCTATGAAAATTACAGTTAAAATCAACAGTGAGGTGAATTATGACCAACATCATCACTGAAAAGTTACCTGCTGACACAGCACCGATAATTATCAAAATAGATTCTTCCCCTCTCATAGGATATAGGCGCCCTGGAATGAGTTGTCCAAACGTTCTTAAATGTTGTACTTTTCTGAAAAACATAAGTACTCATTAAGACTCTTCTGTGCACACAATTCCAGGTAGTAACTTTACAATTTCACCTAAGTTATTTAAAACCATTGTTTCCAGCTCCTGCTCACTTTCCGCTACGTGTTGGTGTAATGAGGTGATCAACTTCTGTAGGAAGATATTAAGAAGCTTAAAACTAAACTGATCTGGCAGCCCTATTAACGCCTATGACTAATTCCCCAGGTTCAGGTCACTTCTCTCTCTCCCCTTCTTACGCGACCCTCTTAAAGAGGGGCTGCAGGGCATACAACTGCACCCCAAAGCAGGCCTGAGCGCCACGCACCCCCTGCCCTTCGTGTAGCCCTCCGCCGGTCACCTGGCACACCAGCGCCCGCAGGATGCCCAGGTTCGTCCTCTGCACCACGCCTGCGTCGCGAGAGAAGAAGCCCAGCGTCCGGCGACTCAGCCGGCTGCACACGTTAGGCTTCCGGGTGGGCCCCATGGGGTTGGCCTAACCCTCGAGGGACGCGCCCCTTACAGTGGACAGGGACGGAAGCCGCTACCTCCAGATCTGGAGGCCGTAACTTTCGCGGGTCAGCCCAAAAAAGCTGTCACTGGGAAATGCACTGGGGACACCAAGCCGCAAAGCGAAAGAAAGCAGAGCCGCTGACGCCAGAACGCTAAACGATATCAGGACTCCCTTCGGGGCCTGCCCCTGGGGAAGCACTCGGACTGCGGACACTGCCAATGCCCCGCACCGCGCAGCCTGCCGTTGCAGCTCTGCGGTCGGGAAATGTAGTTCTCGGAGCAACCTGGTGGTTATCTAGAACTACAACACCCATCAGGCTGCGGGGCACGCCTCCGGAAGCGCCCGGGCCCCGCCTCTAGTTTATCCCGCCCCTGGCGCCCGTGGTTCCGCCTCAGCCCCGCCTCCTCCGGGACCTCGGAGGCGACTAGGTGGGACTGGTGTGCCTTTCCGGGTCTGCGCCGTGTGCGCTGCGCGATCGGGTGGGTCTCGGGGCCTCGTGCTGCTGCCTTCTGGTCTGCGCTTCTTTGGCGTGCCCGGAACTCAGTGGTCGGTTCGTTACCGCCCTGTTCCCACCCTCACATCTCTCATTCCTTCTCCCTGGTAGGCTCTGACCAGGCTCCCTAAAGAAGGGGCTCTGTGTCTAGTGCGAACCGCCTTCCCCTCCACATCCTCCCACTAAATAAACAACACACGGGGTTGGGAGCTAAAGGTACGCCCCACGGCTGGCCCTTCACTCTGTGGTTGACATCTGAGAACCCTGCTGTTGTATTCCCGGTTGGTGGTGGGGAGGGGGAGGGGAAGCGCGATGCAGAGAAGCGAACTAGGATTGAATTACTCCTTCCCAGAGGCCCGCCCTTCTGTGGCCTGTGGGGAGACGGCCTGGTTTGGGGATAATTGCTGTAATTTCCTTCCCTCAATCCCATTCTTTATGGGGGAATAGAATATGTAATGCTTACATTCTTAGGGGACTGCCTAAGACATTCCGCTTTGATTTCTGTGAGAGGTAACTTTACTAACTCCTCTCCCTGCTCCTGTGTTGAAAGTTCCCACTACGCTTAAAGTGGCAGTACCCACGTGTCAGGAGTGTCCCATTGCTGGACGCAAGCCCTTTGAGGATGCTCTCCACGTCTCTCTCACGGACTTGGCATACTCTCTTGTCCACAGGTGTGCAAGGGAAGCAAGTGATCACATCTGACACAGCAAAAGGTGCGACCCTGGGTGAGTGTCTTGAGTCAGGATTTATTTGTTCAGCCCACATTTGGGGGTATTCTTGTCTTACCTTTACTGAATTTCCTTGCAGGGGTCTGGGCTTCTGGCTGATTTTTCAGGTCCTACTTCCAGCTGGCGGTGGGGTAGGGGGAGCAGGGAGAGTGCTTTGTGTATTTTTGGAAGTGGCTGCAATAGTTAATTTGGTAATTCACGATTGTGGCTGTGAGAAAACCGGAACCCAGTAAAGATAACTGGGTTTCCTTTGGCTAAAAATGAAATTCTAATTGCTGAGTAGAATTTTATCATTTCTCTCTTTCCAACTTCCTCTTGGCTGTTCTCCCTGTCCCCTCCCCGTGGTCTTTAGCTCACCTCTATGTCACCCAAAGAAGAGTCATCCAATGTCCCCCACCAGCACTCACCAGAGGCCTGCAGGCTACTGCCGGGAGTTTTCCAAAGCATGGAGCGTGCCTTTTGTAGTTAAAACTCAGCAGAATTTCTCAAACCTACTGAATAGATACCTAGGATGCCCTGTTGTCACCCTAAAATGTTTTCAGTCCCCACCTCAAAAAAAAGAGACCATCTTGTTGATATTTGCACACATTTAAAAAAGAAGAAGAAAAAGACACATGTGACATTTTCAGTGTGTTAAATATATGGAAATATAATTCTAGGTCTAAATTCCTTACATCTTACAAACATTTGCAAGTTAAATGAGGCAAAACTCTACAACCAATAAATCCAAATGAATATGTAGTCATTGTGACCAGTGAGGCTGTTTTCTGGACCCAGATAACTGGGACAGGACTGTCTGCTGTCCCTCCCCTTAGCATGCTGCCTTATGGGAAGGTCTCAGTGTAGGAGGCTACTCAAAGCCCTGACTGCTTCTCTATATTTAAATTACTTCAGAACCTGCCTTTTTCTTCTCCTGTGACCTTATTTGACCCTCACCAGACCCACAACATTATTTACATATAATAAATAGTTCCCTCCTCTTTGTCATGAACTTATACTGTGGCAAGTGATGCCACCTGTTCAGTCGTACTCCTCTAAATACAAGTGTAAGAACTAGCATCTTGTGATCATACCCAGTTAAAAAAGTGCCTGGTCATCCAGGTGATCCAGAGTATCTTTCTGGTTAACTTTTTTCTGAAAGTTTTCTGAAATATCTGAATTTTTATTAAGTAGGAAATGAAAGATTTGCCAGGGCCAGTACTATGACCTAGGGGTAAACCTGGTCCCTTATGGATACTGGTTTGAGTCCAGCTGCTCCACTTTCCATCCAGCTCCCTGCTGGTAGCCTGGAAAGAGCAGTGGAAAATGGCCCATGGGTGGGTGGGAGACCTAGAAGAAGCTCTTTGCTCAGTGTTTCAGCCTGGCCCACCCTTGGTGTTTTGGGCTGTCTGGGAGGTGAGCCAGCAGAGTGAAGATAGGGGAAAGAAGATCTCCGTCTCTCTCTGTGTCTTTCTGTAGCTCTGGTTTTCAAATAAAGAACATCTTAAACAGTGAAGATGTGCGGGTTTCCCTAGGAAAGTTTCGTAACCATGGATGTTTGTACCCACCATAGGGATCTGTATGGCTGCCTTATGGAATGAAATCTGAATCCCTTCGAGTGGTGTGCAAGGTACTTTTCTTTACAGTGTTTTCACCTGTTTTTCCACCCCTTGCCTTTGCTGTCGTGGTTCTAACATGTTTACCTACTTTCTCAAACCAATGGGTGTTTATATTTTATTTCTCTGAGGCTTTCTTCCTCTCCATCTTGTCTCTCTATATTTTTTAAAATGTTTATTCTATTTGAAAGGGAGAAAGAGATCAAGTGCTGCCGCCCACTCATTCTTCCCAGATGCCCACACAGCCAGGAATGGGTGGGGCCAAAGGTAGGAGCCAGGCGCTCATTCCTAGGTCTGCCATGTAGATGGCAGAAACCTGGGTACTTACTGGAGCCATTACCAGGCACTCTGATGTGGGATACTGGCACATTTTTTTGCTACAAAAAGTGCCCTTCTGCCTCTTGTCTTTATATCAATATGTATCCCTGGTATCTCTTGTACTTGAACCCTTTTCCTGATCCCTGCAGTTCAGTAGCTAGCCTGGACTGTGTTTCCAAGTTCCTCCCCTGTAATTGTGTCATTATATTAGAAACATCATTTGCCTGTCTTTCCTGCTGAGTAGTAATTTCATTCTGCCCCCATAGTACACTGCGGTTCATGGGAAAGTATGTTGAATGAAAAACTGTGTTTACATAGAATGTGTTACTGGAAGCTAAGTACTTCTAGCTTAGCATCTATATAGACTGTTTTCCTTTCTTGTTTAAATTAGTAGGAAACCACAATATTTTAAAGTATTTCTAAATACTTTTTTTTTTTTTTAAAAAAAGATTTGTTATTTTTATTGGAAAGGCAGATTTATAGAGAAGAGAGACAGAAAGATCTTCATCCACTGGTTCACTCTCCAAGTGGCTACAACAGACAGAGCTGAGATGATCCAAAGCAAGGAGCCAGGAGCTTCTTCTTGGTCTCCCATGTGGGTGCAGGGTCCTAAGGCTTTGGGCTGTCCTTGATTGCTTTCCCAGGCCACAAGCAGGGAGCTGGAAAGGAAGTAGAGCAATCAAGATAGGAATTGGCACCCATATATGGGATCCTGGTGTTTGCAAGGTGGATATTAGCCACTGAGCCACTGTGCCAGGCTCAGAAAAAATAACTTGCAAAAAACTTAAGCTCTCAAGGATTTTACATTTAAAGTATATATTTGCCATTTGCTGAAGTTTAAAATTAGCACAAATAAGTACAGTTTATGTTTGGGAAATGAACTATCTTGGTTTTGTGCCTAGAAAAAACTTTAGTTTTCTTTTTCTTTTTCCCATTGTTTTTGATATGTATACATAATACTTGGCCATTTTTTATAGACAAGGAAGAGGAAATATGAACTTAGAAGTTAATAAGCTGCTTTTTGCACACTTTGTTTAATGAAGCACAAACAATTATATGTAAATGACATTGAGATTATTAAATTTAAATTTATTTGGAAACAAACATTTTTAACTAAAGCCATAAACCCTCATTGACTTGGTATATAATTACTTTTCATCGATAGTGTGTTCGAAACTATTTTATGTAGCAGTGAACACTATAGGCAAGGTCCCTACAAGTGGGAAGAGATGGAGAACAAATAAATAGATGAAAAATAATGCTGTTGCAGCTGTTTTTACAGTGAACCAATGGATAGAAGATCTCTGTCTCTGCATCTCTCTCTGTGTAACTTTAAATAAATATACAAATCTTTAAGAATAGCAGTCCTAACGAAAGGATGCCCTCTGGCAAGGTTTTCCAGGGCTTGTGATAACAAAGTTGGCTTTTCCTAAAAGCTGTGGGAAGGTCAGTGCAGCTCCCTAATGCGTAGGAGGGAGATGAGCTGCATGTAGTGGGAGTTGGGCCCTTGTCATGTTTGGCTTTGTAAATTATGGTATGGGCTTTTGGATTTTCCTCTCTTGTGATAGAAGGCTGTAAGGAGGATATGAAGGGGAAGTGATACAATCTAATTTGTGTTATAGTAAGTTCATTAAGGCCATAGTGTGAGAATGTATTGTAACAATGTATTGTAGAAGGGGCAAGAAAGATTCCAAAGTGGTTGCATTAGTCCAGGAAAGAGATGATAGTGTTTTGGACCTGAATAGTAGCAGGAGAGATGAAAGTAAACAGGCTGAGGATGTGTTTGGGAAGTCGAATTGATAGTTGATAGAACTTGTGATGTAGTGAGAGTTAAGGATATAGAAAAGGAAAGAATTGAGTGAAATAGTAGTAAGACAGAACCACAATAAGTTGTCCCCACATCCCCAGAGTAAATGGGAAACAGGATAAACGCTAAACACACTGCAGGGCAGAGGATGACAACAATGATGCTGACAGCATATTTTATTAGGAAAAATGATACAGGGAACATCATGGAGGGGAAAAAAAGGACAAAAATTTTTTAAAAATTGAATAAAATATGATTTTAAGTTCAAAAATGTGTTACCATTGAGTTAGTTGTAAAAAATTAGTTTTTTTTTTTTTAAGATTTTAATAGCAAGAGAAAGTGTAGTCATATGGGAACGTTGTACTATCTGCAACTTTTCTGTGAGTCTGCAACTGTTCTGAAGATATGGTAGATGGCCCAAAGCTTTGGGACCCTGTACCCATGTGGGAGACCTTGAGGAAGTTTCTGGCTCCAGGCTTCAGATCGGCACAGCACCGGCTGTTGCGGTCACTTGGGGAGTGAACCATCGGAAGGAAAATCTTCCTCTCTGTCTCTCCTCATCTCTGTACATCTGCCTTCTCAATAAAAATAAATAAATCTTTTTTTATTGGAAAAGCAGATTTATAGAGAGAAAGAGAGACAGAAAGATCTTCTGTCCACTGGCTAATTTCCCAGATGGCTGCAACAGCCAGAGCTGAGCTGATCTGAAGTCAGGAGCCATTAGCTTCTTTTAGTTCTCTCACAAGGGTGCAAGACTTTCTCAGACCATAAGCAGGGAACTGGATGGAAAGTGGAGCTGCTGGGACATGAATGGAAGCCCATATGGGATTATGGTGCTTGCAAAAAGCAGGATTAGCCAGCTGAGCCATCGCACCAGGCCAGTACTGATGGTTTTATGCGTATCACTCAATAAAAAGCATCTAGAAGTACTTTGTTCTTAAAGGGAAAAATCATCAGGATTATAGAGATTCAGGGGCCAGTGTTGTGGCACAGCAAATTAAGTTACTGCCTGGGACACTGGCATCCTAGATGTGTGCCAGTTTGAGTCCTGAGTATTCACTTTATAATTCAGGTCCCTACTAATTAATCTAGGAAAGCAGCAGCAGATGGTCTAAGTGCTTGGGCCTCCGCCACCACTGTGGGAGACCTGAATGGATTCCTGGTGCCTGGTTTCTGCTTGACCCTGCTTTGCCTTTTGTAGTCATTTATGAAATGAACCAACAGATGAATGATTCTCTATATTTCTCATTCTTTCTCTCTGTAACTGTGCTTTTCTA